GAAGAAGGAGGTAGACAGTGTTTGAGAGCAGCAAGTACGTGATGGTGCAGAGAGACAACGTGTTCTCGCTGAGGATCAAAGACGCCCAGAAGGGAGACGAGTCCGAGTACAGCATCAACCTGACCAATCAGAGAGGAGAGCAGGCCAAGAGCGCCTGCAACCTCTCCGTCAAAGGTAATAACATAGAATATATATATACAATAAAATACAACATAAATCTAACCAATCAGAGAGGAGCAGCTGCAACCTCTCCGTCAAAGGTAATAACATAGAATACAACATTAATTAATCTTTGGTCAAAGGTAATGATATTTCATAAGGGAATAATATATGATAAGAATATAAAATGTATACTTAAACATCAACCTGGCCAATTAGAGAGGACTCATTTTAGATAAACAATACATTTAATGTAGAAAATACACAAAAAACGGTGTAAATCTACAAAGGTATGTTTTGGAAAGTCTTAACTCAAGGTCTGTGTTGTATGGTGACACGGTGAGAGCGGTGAAGTAGAATCAATATGTATATCACTCTTTAATTGGTGCCAGAGCTGATCACATGACCTGACGGTGTTCTTTGTGTGTTTCAGAGGAGAGCATGAGGTTCGTGGTTCCTCTGGAGGATATCGACACTCAGGAGAAGAACACAATCGTCTTCTCCTGCAAGGTGAACCGGCCCAACGCCACGCTGAAGTGGATGAAGGCGGGCCAGGAGATCACCTTCAGTAAACGCATCGTATACCGGGCGGACAAAGAGAAGCACACGCTCACCATCAAGGACTGTACGCTTGCCGACGAGGGCGAGTACACCGCCATGGCCGGAGACAGCAAGTGCACGGCGGAGCTGATCATCAGCGAGGCGCCCACCGACTTCAGCATACAGCTGAAGGACCAGACCATCACAGAGTTCGAGGACGCAGAGTTCACCTGCAAACTCACCAAAGACAAGGCAGACCCCAAGTGGTACAGGAACGGACGTGAGATCAGAGAAGGACCCAGGTACGGCTCCTATCAATATATCTATAGAGCTCTTTCTCAAAAACCAACATTGCCACGGTTTTTAATAATAATAATAATAGATTTATTTTGTTAGCGCTTTTACAGGTGCTCAAAGACGCTTTACAGATATAATGAAAAGAAAAGAAAGAAACAACAAATAAATATATAGTTAAAGTTAAAGTCAAATAATACAAAAACAATCACACATTAAAAGCCAGACTGAAGAGGTGAGTTTTTGTGAGTGTTTTGAACGTGGTGAGGTCAGTGCAGTCGTTTGAAGGGGCACCACAG